TATGGTGCTGATGAATGTGGCTGTGCTTTGTCTAGATGGCAAATATAACCCATCTGTGTATATGTATTCGGCTTCTTTCTTTTTCCAGTGCCTGATTCAACAGCACTGTGTTTGTTTTCTGCTGCCTTCTGTATGCTGCAGGCCTTCTTGTCATGTCTGTCTGTTGTTCTTTTTCCTTTCCCCCTGAATAGAATAGAAACAATATGGAGTCATGCTGTTTATAAAGCAATGCTTCTGTAAAAAGGCACAGTGTCTACGTTTCTTCCCCCTGGATACCAGAATGTGGAGAAAATCTGCCTTTGCCTGTGTTGACTATCAAGTATTGATGAGTTATACAAGGTATGACCCAGGGCAGTGTCATAAAGTGACCCATAAATTCAGAAACTAATTTTACCTATTTGGAGTAACAGAGTTTCTTGCAGCAGTCCGCTGGGGTGGGTTTTTTTTTTATCTATTTTATTTTTTTTACAATAACCATCTAATTTCATGCAATTGTGGAATAAAATATGGGAAAAAATATATAGACTGAAATATTAGACAAAGAGTAAAAAGAAGCTTGCATGGTTCTTCTGAATTTAATCCTGTAAACCCCTAAAACACATAACCGAAAAGAACATTACTTTAAAAAATAAAAAAAAATTAAAATGACAGTATTTATTAAACCTAGAAAGTGTAAAAAAAAAAACAGAAGAATTGTTGGATGTTTACTGTACAATGCTACTTAAATAAATCATGAATGACAGACAATTTCATCAGGAAACTTAACCAAATCTAAGGCTAAAATTGTGATATTTTATCAAAACGATTTTTCTACATTGTATTTGAAAAATTTGCCAGTTCTGTTAAAACAAAAAATTATACACTCTTCAACACCACTGAGAAGCCATCTTTTAATTGGCTGTAACCAGCAGTCACGTGGAAAAAAATTCAGGGACTTTTTTAGTTAAACTGGGTTGAACGGCAGGTTTTGCTTCCACAAAGCAAATAAAAGAAATATATGAAAATAAATTTAAAAAATAAAATCTGTAAAATTAGCCTCTATTGTTTTTCCAGTATTGATAACATCTGTTATTTGGAATTTGGAAAAATGTTGAACATGTTGATTGCAGTTTTTTTGGGTTTTTTTGTTTGTTTTCTTTTCAATTTTGGTAAAATAAATATTCAAAGGAATTCAACTTTTGTTTTGTTTTGTTTTGTTTTTTTTTCTTTTCTCGTGATTTATAGAATTGTAGCTGTGCCATACAACACAAAAGACATTTCTGAGTTCCCTCTGCTTCTTGCCATGGTTGCGTTGTTTCCACAGAGGTGCAGGACTTTATATTACAGTGAAAAATGAGCCAACAATAAATAAAAATATGACAAGAGCAACAACACACCCTGAAATTAATTATAGTTCAGACGTTTTATCGAGTATTTGTTTCATAAGCAATTAAATGCAGGAAAAAGCTTCCACTCATCCTGACAGGCCAAACCAGACTGCAAGTGTAAAAATCATTAACTATTTCAAAATATTCTGCTTGTAAAGGGCACAACTGGAAACACAATAATTGATGTGTTACAAATTTCATTTATAAACTGAGTGTTCCATTTCTCTTTCCAGTGATTACACTCTGTTTAAGGCAACATGGTGTCTGCCAAATCAGCTTGTTGTTGGGAGAGTAACATGATCCAGTATTTGTTCCATGACAAGAAAAGCCATGCTTTCCTCCCACATACCTGTAACACTCTGTCGATACAGCCACTGATGACCTGAAGTTTTTGTTTCAGACCTCCTATAGAAAAAAAAGGTGTAGTTGTATATGGTGATATAACCACAGTGCTACATGACCTTAAACTGCAACATGAAATTGTTCCATGAACTGCAGGCATGTGGACAAGTCACACTGTCTCTGATATTTAAGAAAAATGTGTAAAAATGAGAAATAATTTTTAACAGTGTGGCCAAGAAAGATTCACATGGACATTTTGGTGAATTTGCTATGATCAATTTAACCCAAGAAAAAATACATTTAGGGAAAATATCTTAACTTTTTCAAAGTGGGAATGTTTTGTTTCGACAAGTAAATAAGCAAATAATTTCTCTTTCTCTGTTTCACAAGGCTGGAATTGAAAGTAAGGTCTAACTCTGGACGCTAAGGCTCCTAATCATCTTCCATTCTCTTAGACTTAACCCAAATTTAACACCACTGAAGGATTCTGACCCCTAAATAAAGGTCAAAGACTCCTGCATTAAATTATATGTTCATCACATTCAGACATTAAAATTGCACCATATGCATGGACCCTTAGATTCATGGTCAAACTGAAAGATTATGCTGTAAAAACAAGTCTAATTTGCATAATAATGTCATGCAGTGCTACAAACTGCAACAGCTATAGTCGCTCGCAGAAAAACAAGCAAGTCTTTGTGGCCTGTGATGAGTTGAGCTGATCTTTTGTTTGTCTGAAAAACCAAACCTCTGTGCTGAGCTGCAGTGCCTTGGTGTCTACTGTCACAGCAGCAAGACAAGCCAGAGGGTATTCAGAGCATCAGCATGTCAACATTACTGTTACAACATGAAAAAATCAGATCTGCAAATATTAACTTGCATTCTAAACAACAACAACAAAAAAAGTTTAGAAACTTGCCTCTAAAAGAGCAGTATGGACCTATTGTTGGAGCAAAGTGAATTAGTTGCTTGGATAACTTGATTCTCCAGAGGATCTATCCAGGATGATCAAATTAGATTTGTTTGATAGCTGTTCAAGTGAAAACATCGCACTTAATAAAGACATCCTGGTTCTGCTTGCCTGCATGAATTATACACAGTTTAAGGCCTCCCACCTCTTTGAAGTGATTACATCTCAGGACCAGACCACTGCAGACAGGCAAATCATTACCTTCTGATGTCTTGCCCCACTCCACCATAAAGCAAACAGTATGCTTTAAAAAAAAAAAAAAATGCTTTAAAAAAAAAAGATTTATTTTGTTGCAGACCACAAATATCTGCATAGGAGGTACAGATTTAAATCACAGTTTACTGGGGTTTCAGTTTACCAGGTTTTAAGTTTGTCCATGTAGTACAGCCTATAAAAGCTCCAATATTCTCATGTTATTTCCTTTTATCCTTATTATGTGCTTAAACAAGTTCGCATGACGATATTACTTCAGACCACAAAACCAAGATGAGGAGATAAATATGTTTAGATATGTCAGTTACTTTGGTGGGAGCTTAAATTACTGTCTCTGTAATGTCAACAATTAGGCAACCATATGCTCTTCTTTGCAAGTTTGTTGTTAGTATAATACTTCTGTCAAGATTTCCATCTCTTCCAGCTCTGTGAGAAACTCTTTCACTTTAACCTCACAAATTACTCATCATTCTGCACAGAGAATCACTTTTTCATCAGCCAGCTAGTCTGCAATGCATGTCAACACATTTGTGCAGCTTTTCAACACATCTGTGCATGTCCCACACTCGACAGAGAGACATTATTAGGAGCCAAATGGAATGTATAAATAGACAGATAACTCAATCTTCATTCAGTGTAACTTTCTGATCAAGATCTTGTTGCCAGACTTAAATTTTGCAGTCAGGATTGTGGGACCAGCGTTTCGTAGCAAGCACCTTGTCGCTGCTGAATCCAGTCTGGAACGGTTTCTGATGGATGGCTGCTTCCTTATGGTTGAAACATGCCGGTGCTTTACGAGATGGACCAAAAAAAACCAAAACAACACACACATCTGGAAGTGTTTTCTGCAATGGGGTCAATGCACTCAGGGCTCTGAAGCAAGCTTACATTCACTTGAAGAGAACAGTCACATACACAGACATAAACATAATTAAATGTAAGACAACAGGGGGAAGGGCTGCATGGTGGATTGGTGGTTTGCACTGTTGCCTCCCAGCAGGAGGGTTGCTGGTTCATGTCCCAGTAAGGGCACCCATGATCTTTTATTCATCTGCATGTTCTCCCCGTGCAGTATGGGTTCCACAGTCCAAAAAATATGTTGAGGTCAATTGGTGATTCTTCACCGTAGGTGTGAATGTGAGTGTGCTTGGCTGTCTGTGTCTAAGTGCAGCCCTGCGATAGACTGGTGACCTGTTCAGGGTGTTCCCTGCCTTCGCCCTAAATCAGCTGGGATAGGCTTCAGCCCCCCACGACCCTAGTGAGGATTTAGCAGTATAGATAATGGATAGATGGATGGATGTTCTGAGTATACTGCTTCACAACTGGGGGAATTTTGGCTTGGTTAAACCAAAGATTCTCTTTATTCTCAAGCTGAATTTCAGGATGTAACAGGCACAGTCCCCCTCTGATGCAATCTCGAAAAAACAAACCCTCAGTGTAGTGTGTTTTTTTGGCTGTTTTTTCTCGTAGTTTAAAAGTGTCAGAAAACAGGACATAAAGTAATGTGTCTCACAGGACAAAAACACTCATTACCAAACACAAACGGGATGTCTGTAAGCTGCCATGTCTGATGCCCATTTTTCTCTCCCTCTTTCTCCCTTGTCTGCTTGTCTCCTTCCCATTCACTTCCTTGGCAGGTTAACAAACAAGTGTAGCCTGGTAAACCAGCCAAACCCTTGTGTGTCTGCCCACTTCAGTGTTTTTTTTAAAGTACCATTCAAAACCACAGGTGTGTGTGTGTGTGTCTGTGTGTATGAGTGTCGGTGTATCCAGACGCTCTCAAGTAAATAAAGCAACAAAGCTTTATACGCTTTATACGAGTTGTGAAAAGTGAACTGCTGTTTGGGTAAACTGCTGAGAGCTAAGATTTCCTTGTGTCCTGTGTAGAGAGACACACCCTGCTATGAGTCAGTCCTGTGCATAGACATAAATCACATACTGCTTTGAAAAACTGGATTTCGAGCAAAAGTGTTGACACCGACACAGAGTTTTCCTGCCTGTGGTTTTGTTGTTAATGAGTGTTTAGTTTCCTTTGCCGACACACCTAACAATTGCTGCCATTTGTACGTCAAGCAGAATGTGAGTAACAGCACTCATTCAAACCACAATGAGAGAATAGTCAATTTATTATTCATATGATTCATATATATATATATATACACAATATAGCTACACACATACAAATATAAATTTCTAACCAAAACTGGGCCAACTGATCTTCAATAAACATACTGGAAAGATGGAATTCCATTAAATGAGCAAAATCAAAAGTCTCCAGTCCCTTTCACGGTACTGACAGTGACATACCCAGATATTCAGTCCGGAGGCGAATCAGCTTCTAAATACCACAAGAATGCCAAGGTAAGGTTACAAAAAAAACCCACAGTGCAGCTCGGTGTTTAAACATCAATACATACCAGCATCATGGCATTACTAAATATGAGACAAAGTGTCCCATATTTTGTACAAAGTCTGCTTGTAAATAATTTCTGAAGGCTTTCCACCAAACATGTAGTGTTATTATGAAGAGAAATAGTCCAAACACAATGGACAAGACGTTTGGTTTGGGCTCACAGAGACAAAAATTCAAGTAATGAAATGGTCCTTTTTTGAGTGACTGTGGCTGTAAGTTTCCCATCCACACTGTGCTTAATATAAAAAATCTGGTCCTTGGATTATAGAGTTTGACATTTCTGGGAAAATGCTTGCATTAGCCAGCAACCTTAGCTTAGCAATAAGACTGGAAACAAGGAGATATAGATAGTCTAGACTTGCAGACTGGTCTGACTGCACCACATTATCATTCTGGCTTGTTTGTATTTCTTTAGACCAATCACAACCATATTGGGCAAAGCTAAGTAAAGAATGCAAGAATAGAGTCCCCTTAAAACAGTGACTGGGGAATTGATTTGGTGGAACATTTGCACAAAATAAGGCAAGCACCATCAAAAAAATAGATAATTCGCTGAAAAAAGCAGAGGTGCTTTACTGCATGATCCAAATCCGACATTTTCAGTTTGTTAGGTTGCCTCTACGAAGTTGTTGTGCCTTCTTGCAGTGAAAAGGATTTTGAAAACAGTAGCACACAAATAGCAGAATGGCAGGCTTCGACTCTCAATCTACCGACAATCTATCGACAATAGATAGCCTGATCCTATAAAAAGGCAACAAAATCCACCTACTCAACAGGTTTATCTTGTGTATTTCAGATGAAATACTGGGCAACAAGTGTACAGTCACAAATTTGACACCTGTTTTTTGTACGTATTAAATAAATTCAATGTGTTAATAAGAGACAGACCAATACTAAATTTGGGGGTAAATACTAACATCAATATTTAATATTTCTGATGATACTTATATATACACTGACAAGGGAAAATGATGAGGTCGTTGTTTAGTAACTTTCCAGTCATGTATTTTACACACTTGTTAGCCATTAAAATTAGGCTTGACCCACCAATACCATCGGCTGAGCTGTGGCACTGACTCCACTACATGTATTGCAGACAATACTGAGAGTAGCCTACTGCTTCCCAGGCTTCCAGTCTTTGTGCTAAGCTAATCAGCTACTGGCTGTACCTTCATACTAAAAATACAGACAAAAGAGTGGTGTCAGTCTTCTCAAGGAACTTTCCATAAACACTTCCTTTAACCGTTTCCATTCAGCATCACATTCAAAGTCAAATGAAAAACATTAGTGGTCAACAGTTGTACAATATCTCTCAGTCCGGATATTATGAGCAATGCACAGCCTTTGTATTACACTGGATGACATTTTTCCCATAGTCAAGTGCATTATTCAAAAATATCCTGCAACTAGAGTAAGTGCAAATAACTCTTAATATGGTCCCACTTTGAAGAACATGAGTCCAAAATGTTGGATTCATGAAAGGTTCTCTACCAGTTTAGTCTACGCAGTATGTTAAGGTGTATGAATAATTGTTCTGTGCTATGTAAAATGCTGCACATTTTTCCACTGTGCTATTAAAAGATAACAGCATGTATGATGTTGCATTAGGAGTTCATGAAGGCTACATTACACCTTTAAGACACATTACAAAATATTACCATGGAGCAGATGTAACTGAGTGAGAGCAACACAAAAAAAGTGTTTTGCATATCAAAGCAAATAAGGCACAGCTCTGGTATCGGGATTGTAAGGAGTGGTCTATTTTCACAGGCACAGTCTCATAACAAAATTCCCTCCACATTACAGGTCAGCACCTCATTATGGTGGACCTGTCCCATCTGCCGGTGGAACTGCCCCTGTTTCTGGGTCCTCCAGCACTGGATATTTTGTGCCAATGTGATACTCCTAATGCTGGGCAGGTGGGTTAGCATGTTAGTTGGCAAAGATGTCACGCCAGAAGCAGACAAATTCAGCTCTTGCAGGGAGTCGAGTCCACTGAACACTTTAAGGCTCAGATTCTTGAGCTTTGGGTTGTTGGAGAGATCCAAAACTTGCAGGCTCTGGAGACCCTTGAAGCTGTACGGTTCGATTTGCTGAAGCTCATGGAGGCCGCTTATGGATAAATAAACCAGATCTTTCAGCTGAGCAAAGGCTCCCGCCTTGATTTGTGTAATGGGGTTGCCATCCAGATTTAGGTACCTCAGTGGAAGTCCTGCAAGGCTTGGTGCACTTGACAGCTGGTTTGCAGACAGATTTAAGCTCTGAATATGTAAGACTCTTCCATGCAAAGAGGCTAAGACTGACACAATCTTGTTATGAGACAGATCCACACTGACGGGTTCACCGTTAACTTTAGCGGTAAACAAGTCCATGTCGAACTCCTGGAAGCTGTTGTGGCTTAGGTCAACTTCAGCCAGAGGGAGTCCAGAGAAGCAGCTGGACGAGAGGTGTTCCAGGTGGTTGTGGCTCAGATCAAGAGTCTCCAGGTAACGCAGTTTTGATAGTGCATTGGGGCTTACCTGAAAAATTAAATAGCACCAACAGGTTAGCAAGAGAAAAAGAAGAAAAACCTTTTAAGAGTTCCAAAGATGTATTTCACATCTACCTCTTGGTCTTTATAAGATAAAAATGCATTTTCCCATTCAGTCTCACTTGGAGTCATGTTTGTGTATACTCGATCATCATAAGTCCAGTTCTGTCTGCTTCTAACTTTGCTTTGGTCCTTACCAGTCCCTGAGGAATATATATGACTCTATCTGGTCTTTTATGTTCACCAGCTAGCAGCTAGTTTTGTCTATCTGCCTTTTTGTTGTAGGCACATCATATTAAGTGGGTTTTTACAGCTTTTTTATCTGAAGACAACTGTCTTCCACAAATAAAAACGCAGCTCATGCAATCAGGGTGTAAATAAGTGAAGAGTAAAGATACTTGAAGTTGTGCACTTTAGCGAGTAACATTGGGTACACTACATCTATCTCAGGTAAGATAAAACTGGCTAAAATTAACCACAAGGTATATCCACATCAATTACAAAACACTGACCCAGAAAGACTAGCTATTTCTTTATTCAAATATTTTTTAGCCTTGCTTGAGAGTCTATAAATAAGTTATTTGAGCCACATACCTTTGTAATATGGTTGTTACTGAGGTCCAGGCTAATAAGGGTGGTGTAGCCTGGACCAGCTAACATGGTGTCACTGAGTGGGCCCATGGCATTGGAGGACAGGTCCAGGTGGGCAGTGTCCAGTGGGATGGGGATAGGCATGGAGGCGCTGGGTCCCAGCCCTCGGCAGTCCACCCTTGTCAGACTGAAGCTGTCAAACAGGCCAAAGCTTTCCACCTCACAGTGGCAACCAGGGTGGCAGTTCTTGACGGCACTGGACCGGACAGCCACCAGCAGTGACAGGCCGAGCCACAGGAGGAGTGCCATAATGCTCTACAGAAAACACAAATTCAGTATTTACTTTGGAAACCTTTTCAAGTACACCACTGCCACTGAGATTAGAAACATTTTCAAGGTTCAATCACCATCTGATAAAACTGCACAGGCTGTACAGATCGATTTAGGACACGGTGGCCTCACGGAACACCTGTTCTGTGATTTTAGTAATTCAAGGAAGCCATTCCTGTTCAAATGCCATCTTCCAGGCTTTTGTTAAGCTTCATGAAAAGATTTTAAGCCTTTATTTGTCCAACTTGAGTAGCCCCAATTTCCCTCCCTCTTGGCTTCCCAGCGGGTGTGACCTAATTTCTTTGATCAATGAGTTCATTTGCACTTTCTTAGTCAACTCACTAGGAAGAGAATGCATGGTTGTAAAACTGAAAAATTAAGTGTATTGCAAATCTTGGCTCCATCTTAGGTTAGGTAACTTAGGAAAAATGAGTTGCATCCACATTCTGTACACATCCACTGAGGCTCAGCGTATTAAGACAACAAAGTCAGAAACAAATTCTCATTTTGAATATGATACTGCCATATGGTCTATTACTGTGATAGCACTGCATGTAAAATAACAGCATGGAGGAAAAGTCTCAAAATGAAACTTAATACAGGAAACAAATCCTGAATATTCAGAATATGGTAATCAGTCATTCTAAAATGTGTAAAGAATCAAGAATATTTAAGAAAAATATGCATTAAGTCCACACTGAAGATAGTTTCAAAAACCAAAGAATCTATCATACCTGTCCACGGCTCTTGCTCAGTGGCTTTATGTGTATCTGTGTAAATGACAGCTAAATAGAGCTCACCCATGCAGTTCAATTTAAGCTATGTGTACACCCATACACAAACACTAAAACAACAATGAACATTGGACAGAGGTTAAGAGTTGTGCAACAGGCAGAAACGAACAGTCACGGTCAAGCCGCCCAGGAATGACACAGCAGAGCGCATGTTAAAGATACAAGCCACAGTTCTACAGCATTAAAGCCTTGTGAGAAATGAAATTACAGCCTCAGCTCAAGTTAAGATCAGTGCTTCAGACATCAATTGCAATTACTGCTGTCACTTTGCAGAAGCTTAAAAAGAACGGTTGCAGTTTCACTTGTTCTTCCTGTGCTCTTGAAAGCATTTCTTCCCAAATGACAATGCAAAGAACAGACAATATTATAAGTGTAGCAGTACAACAAAATTCACTCAGAATGCTCTGTTTTGAATGGAATAGGAGGATAAATATTTTCTCTGTGCAAATCTTGCCTTTCAGCAAAGAGCAAATCAGGACGTTATGCAAGAAGCAGTAAAGTAATAAATCTCAAATTTGAACTTTCAAGGGTATGCAATAAAGATGTACTAAGTGGCTCCGTTTACAGCTGTGATCGAGGATATCTAAGTGGCGTTAAGGTTATTTATCTTAGGTTATGTAAGAGGATGAGGTCACATAGCTGCATAGCACTTGTGGATCAATAGACAGGGTGATTACCACGGCTCAAAGTCTGCTTAGTCAAAGCTGTTCACCTCTGTGCAGCGTTTTGTTTGTTTTGACCCATGAACTCCTCACTACAACTGATTGCATTGTAAAACGGATAACTGACGAGGCAAAAACAGGAGTGTGTATGTGGACTGTAAGTGAAGGGCAGAGTTTCTCCAGCTGCAGGTTTTTACCAGACAGGAATGGGGCGAGCTCTAAGACTGTTAATTAAGCTGAGAACACAAATCTTTCACCCACTGAACAAAATTTAACAGGACGTTTTCCAGCTGAGTTTTTCACAAGCACCATAGTCCACCCAGGGATTGAATCACTTGCAAGTACAGGGGGAAAAGTTGATGAATGAACTAGTTTCTGGAATTAGACAAGTTTCAAATTACATCTACAGCAATGGATAAACTCTATTTTTTAAAGTTTATATTATATCATTGGCTGTCATTTAAAAAAAAATAAAAAATACAGTAATGTCCGTCTCAGCCCATTCTACAATAGCAAGTTTGCCTCACCTCAAAGTGCAGGCCTCAAAGAGATCAGCCTTGTTACAAAACCAAAAAAATCTATATGCATACTAAACATGGGAAAACTGCCAGTTAAACCAAGTTGTCACATTTTTTTGTTTGCTTTTACATTTATCACACTGGTTGTCACCGGACTGTGGTTTTGCAGCCACATTCATCTCTTTCCCAGCCTGCATCCTTCCATCTCCATCTGTTGCTTCTGCGAGGATTGTGAACTTTCTGCACCAGGTGTTCCTCTCAACTTCTCATCAATAAATCTCAGCTAACAGCAAACTGCTGCTGGCTGCTGCCTTCAAATCAGACACATTCTAACTACTGCAATTACCCGACAGCTATGAAAGTTTTTCGAGCTGTAAACTCCCGCCCCCGGCCCCTGCCCCGAGTGGGCAATTTGGCAAAGGGCTGTGAAATCACACCCCGACATCGTCTCACTTTCAGAGGTCTTTTCACACCTTTTTAGCCTGGGAAAGAAGCAACAAGAACCTCTGCTGTCCCTTGACGATTATCAGCAATTAGTTAATTATTTCTTTACCCACATACAGTTAAAAATATATATATACCAGTAATATTGAATAAATGATAGTTTCCCATAACTTTCTCATAATAATCCAGTTATCAAAGTGTGTGACATTCAATGTGTCAAAAGTCAACACAACAGCATCACTTTTATTGCCCACAGGTCAAATGCATTTCTAAAGTCAATGAAAGATTTTATGCCAGCTGTCTCTTCTTTCTCTTCATGCATACAAATGTCTTGACAGTGACAAATAAGAAATTTAACACAGAGCAGAAGATGTACATAACCTTACATCTGTTTGGCTCTCACGTTTAACACATTCATTTGCATCCACGTCAAACCTCATGCAGCCCTCAATTTGTTCAGTATCCTCCAGTGCACTGATGTATTCTTTATGTCACCGAGACCACCCTGTCCCAATTTAATATCCGAGTTGAAAGCTGAAAACTGTGTAATTAGAAGATGGATGCCACGTTAATCCTTTTAAGCCAAATTAATGCATGACACTGAGGAGGAGGGAGTTTAAATTAAATTGATGGTACTTAAGTGTTTTAAAACAATTAGGTTGCAATGGAAAGCCCTCCGGATATGGTGAATAAATAAATTCACAAGCAAGGAGATGAATCATATTCATCAAAGTGCATTTTTGCAATGCTAGATGTGACGGCATTTCAGAAAAAAAATGACTCACAAAATATGAAGCTGCTTCATGGCCTGAATATAATTAGCACTTTTCTCAGTCAAAAAGTCAAGTGTAATTTGCTAACTTCCCTTTAGGCTACAGGAGTAATATCAGTTATGTCAGCATATTTGTGAATGTTTCCCTTTCAGTTAACAAATGCTATACAAGTTTATATTATTGCCAAAAACAGTTTCAGTCTATATGTGTGAATTATAAAATCAGCATTATCTGCGGAATGTAAATAAGTCAGAGTTTGATTGGATTTACTTGTGCTTTACTTGAGTATTTCCACACTGTGCTGTGTTATACTTCTACTTAAATAGAGTTTAGACGGACATAATATACATTCTACTCCACTTCACGTATACTACATTTACAGATAATTTGCAGATTTTAGGTTTACACAATCAAGTATCTACCTGGCTGATTATCCGACTCAGTATTCAGCATTTTCCCATTATGATTATTGTTGGGTTTTTTTATTATTGTTATTATTTTTAAATAAAATAAATTTCAAATGTGATATTTTGGCTCTGATGGTTTTACCTTGGTCTATCTGTGGTCAAGAGCAACATACACTCACAGCACAACTTGGTTGGTAACAGCCTCTCAACACTCCAGAAAAAATATTGAAATGCTTCTTTTAAACAAAAAAAATCACAAAAAGATTTGTATGTTGCTTGTTTGTATGAATGAATGAATGATAATTAATTAATAGTATGTCAAATGAGTTTAGTTTGTATTATTCCAAATTCTGGCACCAAGAATTTCCATTTTGCTGCAATTGGGCTATATACTGGTTTTAGATATTGGTAATTGAATCTTCTTTGTTACTAACAACTAGTACTGGCCCTGAGAAAAACATATGAGTCGACCCCAAATAGTTATTTTCCTGCTGTAAACCGAGCAGCTATGCTAAATAGATCTTGCTTCTGGGCTGAAATGTTACATCTGGAGTAACTTTTTCTCTCCACTTAATGTGAAAAAAAAAAAAAAAACCTCTGACCAACTGTGACCAATGTGTCACAGCTTTCTCTGCATTACCACACTCCATGCCATGCTGCGGGAAGTGAACAGGAGAGGCGGGTACACACTTACTCACTGCACGGGCACCTCTGCAGATCAGATTTCTTGCAGCCGTACGTGGCAAAAACCACTGAGAGCTGAAGGCTGCTGAAATCCCTAAACAACCACCCAATGCTCAGCTCCGACACCATTAATAAACTTTCACGGCAACCCCCGCCCCTCCGAGCTGTCAGCAGGCTCCACATGCCACCTCCGAGCGCATCAGTCACAACTCTTCACGCACCGTAAAGTTTTTCTAGTGTGTCTGTCTGGATAATTTGTGGTATCGACGAACCTGAGCCCGGTCAGTTCAGTCGGGACACCAGGGGCGGTTTCTGAAACACTGAAATCTGATCTGACCACAGGCTCCGTCGCGTCTCTGTCTCCGAAGCTCACCGTTAAACAGACACTTTCAGCGGAGATGCGTGCTAGCAAAAAATAGCGGCGCCACCGTGATTAGTTTTCTCGTTAGTTTGTCTTCCGAGTAACTTACTTTTTCGTCCACACAGTCCGCTTGTCGGCCGCTTTTCACTTCACCGCTTCCATTTCGCGCCCCCCTGCAGCGCTCCTGTGTCCCGGCTGTCCGTGTGTCTGCTGGGCTTCATGAGCTCCGCAGGTCCCCCTCCAACTGTCCGCTCCACCGCAGGAAAATGTCAGTGGCGCTGGGACACACACTCGTCTGTTCCCATCCCATGCCTTTCTTCGGCTAGTTTTACCACCACATAGCAAGCTAATGCTAACCACCACAGCACCTCCTGTCGGCGGTTTTCAAACTTAAAGGTTTCAATGACGTCTTACGAAGATTTTTGTTTGTTTGTTTGTTTGTTTCCCCAATTTAGGCAAATAGATGCAATATAATGGAACAGTTTGTTAATGACAGATCGGCTTTTCGTTGTGTTACCTTGGCAACTGTTGCCACGATAAACACTATACACCCTAAATTAACCTTGTTGCACCTTTTCAAGTCAAGTCACCACAGTACAGTACAGTACAGTATAGCAATAATTAATTGGGGAATGTTTCCACTATACTATGCAATATTATACTACACTGCACTACAATATAGTACACTGCATACTATATTATATAACTGTTTCCACAATCTCATAAATGAGACTAAAATGTGGAATTGTTCCATTGATAAAGTTTCTCGCTTTTATTTTTACAGGCTCACATGTGCGGGCCTCAGTTGTTGGCTGGTTTGGACGCAGCTTGTCAGAGCGCCCTGTAGTTGGAGCGCTGCAAACAAACCCACATGAAAAGAACAGCTGAAATACAGCGTTGCGCAACAAGGCGGCGGTTTGTTTCATTTGGCTTAAGTTCACATTTTGATGAAACTGATAAAAAAAATAGTGTGAACGGAAACCCAGGCCTTTCCTGTTGTTGTCAACGCAGCATTTCAGCTCCAATTCTGTGCAAAAACTCAGCCTCTGTGTGGTAGGCAACTTCTGCAGAGACAGATTCAGAGTTGAAGTTAGGTCATTCAATAAATCATTTCATATTGTATCACTTGCAATCGGTTGTGGGTAAAAAATATTTTGAAATTAACATGTCTGAATATGCCAAAACACTATTGTACATGGGAATATATCAAAGAGTTGGTTATAAGTGGACAAATACTGCACAACTGTACTGCAGGCCTTAGCATATGTGTGGAGACATTAGACTACACCCTGTCTGATGAGACATTGTCCTCATAAAGGAGCAACAGAAACTTACAGCTCAAGTGTGATGAATTAGTGAACATGTGTTGCTGCTCACACAATGCAAAGGGGGCCCTAGTCTTCATTTGCTCTCAGCTATTGTTTTCCTCATGAGAGCATGACGACGTCACATACACCCATACACACTGTCAAGGGTCCACACAAACAGAGGGCAACAATTAGAAAGCAGATGACAACTGTTTTCTCAAGAAAGGGGGGGAAAAACATGTAACACAGTAAGTCCTGTCATTCTGTTTTGTATTAAACAGCTCAGTAACCTCTTGCAAATAGTCTGGCAATCGTTAAGGCTGCAAAGATAACAGAGGGAGGCAGACAGACTGTGATATCGGTTTGTAAAAGGAATTTTAAAAACTCAGAACTTATCTTAATGGTCTAAATCAATCACTGCTAAATCAAAGTTATCATACACCCATGTTAGCTTTTCACATACATCTTTACTTGACTTGTTCTCAAGGTGGAATTTTCACTTTAGTGGCAATCAACCACATCACAGATTAAAGCTCTGTTAAAGGTTATAGCCACTTTTGGCCCAGTAAAGGGTGCAGTATATCTTACCTTGAGAACGCTGTTGTAATACAGTTGAAAAGAATAAATACCACTAAGTCAATCCTTGGCAAGTTTATTTGTATAGCACCTAACAATGAAATCCAAAGGGCTTTACAGAAAGAATAAAAAGCATGTAAGTAAGTTGCATAACATGGAAAATGCAAAAAAAAAAAGCTCAAAGAAACCAAAAAGAAAGACAAAACAAGATAATAACATTTGCAATGTAATTACAGTGCAGTAAGAAATTTGAATATAGTTCCAAATTTGATTTAGTAAAAGGCAGCAGCAAACAGAAAAGTTGAAGAGTTGAAGCAGACCTCAAGTTTTATAGAACTTTGTTGCAGATATGTAGAGCATTAAAACTAAATGCTATTTCTCCATGTTTAGTGTTAACTCTGGAAACAGAGAACAAACCCATTCCAAAGGATCCGACAAATCTGCAAACCAGAAATGTTTTTTGGGCCTAAACCATTTCGTTCTTTATATTTTAAACCTGTTTTTTGACATCCAGGAAACCAGTTTAAAGACCTGAGAAGTGCAACTTGTTTGGCCTTAGGGATGACACAAGCCGCACAGACTGAACTAGCTTCTGCTTTCTGAGGGATGTTTTAACAGTCAAGCCTACTCAAGTCAAACACGGAGATAATTGTGCTTAAACATAGACCTTTAACTACTGATGTATTGCTAAGGTGGTAATAGACTAATTTTGTAATTGCCTTAACATGGCTATTAAAAATGAAACATTTCTTTGGCTCTAAAAATACTTATTTCAGTTTTATATTTGTTTAAGAAAAAATTTGGCATTTAAAAAGAAATTTTACAATATTGTTTGTTTTCTTTTTTAAATAATACTTTGATGTCTATTTCAGCGACTTTGGCAAACAAAGTTTTGTTGCTTGACCTACAATAACAATAAAGGCATCTTTCTCATCTTAGCCAAACATTGATCTGTTTAATACACTCAGTGTTTTTATGGGACTAAAGTTGCTGGAGATATAGTTATTTAGAGGTAGAAGTAAAATATTCTTTATTGTGAGAAGATAAATTTTGCAAGGACAGAACTCATCTTTAACTTAAATTACCAGATTTTGATGGGCATTTTTTTACTACACAGATGATTTGTTACACAGAGGATCACAACTCCTTTTTAAAAAGTTCATGCTTAATTGTTTCGTGAGGATGTTTGGGAAAATATGCCCATTTATTTTAGTGTTAAAGAAATGAAAAATGAAATGAAAAATACTTTATTTATCCCAGAAGGGAAATTCAATATTGTAAAAAGCTCACTTTTTAAAAAAATCAATATAACATATATATACAACAACAATAATCAGTCAGTCAGTCAGTCAGTCAGTCAGTCAGTCAGTCAAACTTGTTCTTCAAGGTGATGGCTGTTGGCAGGAATGACTTTCTGTATCTCTCTGTTCCACAGCGAAACTGACGCAGCCTCCCACTGAACACACTTTGTTGGTTCTTCACTGTGTTATGGAGAGGGTGGGAAGAATCCTCCATCATCTTCATCATCTTGTGCAGCATTCTTTTTTGAACAATCAGCTCCAGTGGTTCCAGAGTTATCCCCAGCACAGAACCAGCTTTTTTGATCAGCTTGTTTAGTTTCTTTAAGCCTCTGGTTCTGATGCTACTGCTCCAGCAGATGGCTGCAAAGCTGATTGCACTTTCCACAACAGACTTATAGAAGATCTGCAACATCTTGGTGCAGACACTGAATGATCTCAGTTTCCTTAAGAAGTAGAGTCTGCTCTGACCTTTCTTGTAGAGCATTACCTTGTTATAAGGCATGACCTTGTTAGTTTTTAGTGTGCAACTGGTAAACCTGAAGATTCCCACCAACTCTTTTTCCTTTATTTTAGATCCAAAGTATCCACCACTAACAGGCTTATCCACTAGATGGCACCAGAGCTAAAGATACTTTCACTGTAGCTTCAGTGTGAAGATTCCAGAGCTTGCACTAAAAGTAACAGAAAATAAAAAATGCAGCTTACAAGGAGGACACAAGAGGTGAGTATATTTATTAGCATCACAGTATTCAGTATTATTCATGATTTATGCCTAATCGTTGTGACAACTAAGTGTTTCATTGTGTTTGAGGTAGTTCTTCAAAGTCATCCATTTAAAATATTTAAAAATAGACCTTTATGTGTGTGAATTACAAATGTGTGTCTGTAAATAGATTAATTGGAATGTTAAGTCGTGTCAAAAGTGACTTTGATGTCACTGAGAAGTCTGAAACAAAATCTTTTAGAATCACATTGTTGGTCAGAATTGGGGCTGCAGGGTGGCGCAGTTGGTAGCGCTGTTGCCTCGCAGCAAGAAGGTTGCCGGCTCGCGTCCCGGTGGGGGCACCGGAATCTTTCTGCGTGGAGTTTGTATGTTCTTCCCGTGCAGTGTGGGTTCTCTCCGGGTTCTCCGGCTTCCTCTCACAAGGTCCAAAAACATGTTGAGGTTAATTGGTGATTCTAAATTGTCTGTAGGTGTGAATGTGAGTGTGCTTGGTTGTCTGTCTCTAAGTGTGGCCCTGCGACAGACTGGCGACCTGTCCAGGGTGTCCCCTGCCTTCGCCCTGAGTCAGCTGGGATAGGCTCCAGCCCCCCCGCGACCCTCATGAGAATTAAGCGGTGTATAGATAATGGATGGATGGATGGTCAGAATTGACTTGATATAGGCACATTGTCCTTAATGGGAAAGAGTTATACATTATTGAATTTAATCTTGTGAGCTCAGCAGACAGAGAGCTGCATAATAACTGTTTTAACCTTCATTCTAGGAACATAAGCAACATTCAAGGATGTCTTTGGTCTGTTAAAGAGACCGCCTGTGCACACTTTGCCTTTATGTCAATATACAAAAGTACAAGCCAAATTAAAATATTCTGTTCCCTGGTGTTTCCATTTATCTTCTACTGAAATATTTTTTCCATCCTGCTTATTATTCTATTTTATCAGTGTAAAGACAACAAGGTTCATCTCTTTCTTGCCCACACTGTATATCCTATTTCCCTGCTCGGTGCATACTATAAACTAAGAGAGATGTGTCTTGTTTAGGTTAACCTTTCCAAATCTATTTCTTGAAATATTTACTTATTCAGAATTTTATTTGCTTGTTGACACCTCGCTGTGTCCAACGCAGCACAGAGCTTGCCTCAGGTACAGCATCAGTTGTATTGTGTTCACTGCTCACTGGGTGGAAATTGCGCTGTGTCATCACTTATGTTCTCTATTCCTGGATGCAGGACTGTACTGTCAAGGTGTTACGTTTAAGAGGCTCTTCAGCTTACATGGGATATGGGTCAACAAAGGTGGACTCACTCTCTAGCTCTGTGTGCACTTAAGACACTGGTGCATTTCTTTAATATTTTTATAACGGTTCTTTACTCATTTTTTGTTTGGAAGTAAGTCTTCAGATATAAGTTTAAACAGACTGCTTCTGGCTTTTGTTATGCAAAACACATACACTAAGAGTTAGAAACAGAGACAAGGGTGAAACGGTCTTTATCTTCCACACACATGCACATGCATACAGCTGTGTCCTGATGTTTATGGACTCTTCAGTCTACCGACTGAACACATTTGTTCTTTAATTTTCAATTGAAGCTTACACAGAATATATTTTGCTGCATTTAATATGTTCTCTTAATGTATTTCGATAGTGCATATAGTTTGTAGACTTATTCAGTATGCAAAGTTCAAAAGTTTGCAATGTCCTTGAAGATAGAAATCAATTAAATCATGAGATTAGGAATATATGTGGAGACCCCTGAACACCATTCCTGCAGTTTTAGCATGGTGTTCTAAATGCTGTACAGAGGCAAACACTGTCACATATAAAATGTTGATGATTTACAATATGGTCCCGTATATTTTTGTATGTCCTAAAACAAACAAATGTATTCCTTAATTTTTGCAATCACATTTTCTTTTTCATTCTATCAACCATCCAGGCCCTTTGTCCTTGACACTGTCGTGTGTCGATGTTGTGGCAACCAGCCATTCTTGCCAGGCAGGTGGAGTCATTTCAAAAAAGATTCAAAAAGGACTGACACAGGCGAAACGCAGCAGAACTCAAGAGACCCACAGGGAAAGCCCTTCGTTATCTCTAATTACTCCCACTCCAGCAGGGTTCAAATTCATTTCATCTGAGGGACCTGCTGCACTGGGGGCATATTAGACCAATTAGAGCACGGTTCAGGTGTCTTCACGCAATGTGGCTGAGGTTGTCTCCATGGCAAGAAAAATGACCCCACTCTAAGGATCAGAAAATCTTTGCATGCTCAATACTTATATTCATATTCATGTAGAGCATTCTTGTATTTTATATATGAAGTGAATAAATTATGTATTATATCATCGGCCATTCTCAAAGTCAGTGATAGAAAACAAATTATTTGTAACTATGCAAACCAAGCCTGCAGCAAGGCTTGCAGAGCAGATGAAGGCCTGCAGTCAATCCTCTTATATTGTGCCTTGCTGAAACTGGATTAGTGAGTAACACCTACGTTTTGGCCTCAGGTCACTTTGGAGGGATTTCACTGAATGGGCCTGAAGCTGACACTGGCCTCATATAGGCCTAATGGTAATACACACACAAGGCTTTTCCTTTTCCTTTTTTTTTTTTTTTTTTTTTAAAAAACAAAACATTCCGAGAGGATTGCCTTCATAATCTCCAGTTGGAATATGTGATATCTGAAGACCAAAAAAAAAAAAAAGGACCAAAGTTGTTTTAGTTCTGAGACATGGCACCTGTGAAGGGAACTGTTTGTGGAAACGCACAGGAGCCTTCAGAGACGGTAACTGCGGGACGTAAGTAGCTCTCCAGAGTGCTGAAGTTGTCTCCAAACGCACCAGACGCAGAGCCCGAGCTCTCCCTGACACTGACAGCCCATAATCCCAACACCATGACAGGGCTGTGTCTTCAGCAGAGCCACGCCGGGGTGCATAGGTAAGGGTTTTTGGGGATGGTTGACGACAGAAAAGCGGATCCGACAAGACTGTCTCATCGGACCTTGGAGCTGTCCTGATGGCATTTAAGAAGAGGTAAGTGCGTAAATTCAGCCCCAGAATACTCATTATTGGTGATAATCTGAACATTAAGAGTTACTGAGACTTTAATCTGTGCTCGTTTCGCAGGCGTCAGTGCTCTAACTGATAGTTAATTCATCGTGAACACAGAGATTCCCTTCCTTGGACACCCTGGAAGGACAATGCAACATTTTCCTCCAAATTTCAGAGGGGCGCTATGGGAGTCCAACCATCCGTGTGCACCCATAATTAAAAGCAGACCAACTTTACCGTCACTGCCCTTTTATAACCTTCTGTTATGGGTTTTCCTGGGAGTGTTGACGTTCCCCTGCTGTGTGCGCTGTTTGATATTCAAAGTGGGGGTCCTGGGCCCCTGGAACTGCGACCCTGTTTATTTCAGGGCCCTGCCTGCCACCGCGGCCAGGCTGGCTGTGAGCAGGATAAACGGAGACCTCAGTCTGGACCTCGGTCTGAAAATGGATTTCATCATCCTTCAGGAGCCCTGCGAAACCTCCAAAGCGCTCACGGCATATATTTACTACGAGAACTTGGCGGATGCGTTTGTTGGCCCCACTAACCCGGGATACTGTATCGCAGCTTCTCTGCTGGCCAAGACCTGGGACAAGGCCCTCTTCTCCTACGGCTGTGTTACATACGAGCTGGACCGTGTCGCAGCTTATCCGACCTTTTCCACGACGGTGCCGTTTCCCACTGATGTGTTATTTACCGTATTGAAGCACTTCAGGTGGGCCAGCGTCGTGGTGGTCTCATCCAATGAAGATATCTGGATGGATACAGCAGGGAGAGTGGCTACTGCTCTCAGGAGTAAGGGGCTTCCAGTTGGACTCGTTACTTCTATTGGGATGAACGAGACTGAGGTGGAGAACACGCTGAGGAGGATCCAGGACGCAGGAGACGTCAAGGGTGAGTGTGAGGAGAGTGCCTAGAATGATCATTACATGTGCAAATAGCAACTTATGTCATATAAAAATACAGGGAATAGAAATCACACCATAGCTTGCAGAAGAGCAAGAATATTCTCACATCACAGCTGATCCACTTGTAGGATTTTCATCCCGCCATCATTTGACCAGGAACCCATTTTTTAAAATGCAGATTTTACCTTGTGGTTAAGCTGAATAAGTAACTTAATTAGTTTCCTACCACCTCTATTTTTATACTTTTACTGGAGACTATACTCTAAGTTGGTGGGGAGGAGGCAAAAGAAGGATGGGAGAATAACGTGCAAGAAAAAGCCACCAAAAACCAGTGGTTTAGTTTTTAAGTTTCTAACTCCACACAATCTTTGTTTTCGATGTATCTTGAATGTTGCAGTCTGCAGAATTTCCCCTAACAAGTGTCATGATGCACGTGGGCAACTTAGTATTCTTGGATAGTTCAAGAACCATCCTCACATAGCATGATTTTCAACCGTCAGATTATTTACCATCACTACATTTACCTGACTGTATAATTCTCCGTCCATAAAAACATATTAAGCACTGTCCAAATGTCAGAGCACTGTACCTAAGTACAAATTTGTAGTGTACATTAGAGTCTCTTTACTCTATGGGAAAAATCTGCATCTTTCCAATGTTGCATTTGCTTGCAGTAGTCACTGACTGACATATAAGTACATGATCGAACAGATTTCCGTCATGTTATCACAAAACAAATATCTATAAAGATTTTTTAAATACAGGAGAATTGTATGTTTTTTGTTGTCTGTTTCAGTCATCATTATGTGTATGCACTCCCTCCTGGTTGGAGGTGAGCAGCAGGGTGCTTTTCTCCTCAAGGCACAGGCGATGGGTCTGACTTCAGGGAAGTATGTGTTTGTGCCCTACGACACCCTCCACTACAGCTTGCCCTACACCAACATCTCCTACTTCACCCTGCAAAACGACAGCAGGCTGAAGGAGGCCTACGATGCTGTGCTCACCATCACTGTGGCCTCAGAGCCTCTGTCCTTCAATGAGGCGTTCGTTGCAGCCAAGAGGAGGGAGGAAGTGACACTGCCACTGCAGGCAGAGCAGGTAGGGGAGTGTCTGGAAGTCACAGCAGGTTGTTAATAGATGGTATTGGCACTTCATTTAAATTTACTTTGAAATGAAACTCACGCACTGTCTAATTAAGATATTGTTTAAATTGACTGTGAAGTGATGACAGTTCTCCAATGTTGGAGATGCAGGACAAAATCATAAATTCCCTCTTTTTGTAAGTCTTTCTCCATTACAGTGTTTGTTTCCTATTTTTATATTTACAAATATTTTCTCATGTTTGCATGTTTTAGCAAATATCAGCATATGTGCACAGTAATCAGTAAAACGTGATCTGGTTTTCAGTTGCCTCTCTTCTCCCCACATGGTCTACTTCTCATTTCAATTCATGCATATAAGTCTAAGTAAATCCTGTACTTATTCTACCCTATACTATTTCTCACATTTATTATGTTTTTTTGGAGCACAAGGGCTCAGGGGTTAGCACAGTTGCCTTACAGCTAGAAGATACCCGGTGCATTTCCCAGCTAGGACACCTGGGATCTTTCTGTGTGGAGTTTGTATATCCTCCATATGCTACATGGGTTCTGTCCAAGCTCTCCGGCTTCGTCCCACAGTCCAAAAACATGCCAAGGTTAATTGGTGAATCTAAATTGTCCACAGGTGTGAATGTCAGTGTGCTTGTTTGTCTCTTTGTGCTTGTTTGTCTCTCTTTGTCGCCACGCCAGGGTGTCCCCTGGCTTTGCTATAAGTCAGCTGGGATAGGCTCCAGCCCCCCAATGACTCTAGTCATTAATCAGTGTATAGATAATGGATAGATGGATTATGTTATTTTGTTTTCCCCATTTTCAGTTTTAAATAGTTGAAATAACACTACTTTCTCTTACTTTCACTGTAACCTTCAGGTGAACCCCCTGTTTGGGACCATTTATAACAGCATATACCTGCTTGCCAAGTCCATCCACAATGCCAGGAGAGCAGGCATGCAACTGTCAGGCTCAAACCTGGCCTACTTCACAAAAAACACAACCTTCACTGGCTTCAACCAAAAGGTGAAGGTGGACACTGGTGGAGAAGTTAAGACTAACTACGTCATACTGGACTCTGACAACAGGGGGAGTCAGCTGTACCAGACCTACCTGGTGGATCTAACATCGGGAAAGCTTCGATTCGCAGGGAGGTCCATTAATTTTCCAGGAGGATCCCCTCCTCCGTCTGATTCCAGCTGCTGGTTTGATAAGACTGCCATCTGCACAGGAGGTACAAGTGTCTGCTGTTTGTGTGAATGTGGTTATGTGTTCACTCTGATGACTTTGCTCATTCTTCACACTGCCATGGCATGTTCTTTATCCATTTTGTTATTTATTCATCATCCACATTTCCCATAATATCAAATGATGTGTTGTCATCCTCAGGTGTGGAGGTCACCTACATCATAGTTGTGTTAGCTGTCATCCTCGCTTTGGCTGTAGGAGGGATCGCTATAAGTCTTTATATCAGGTACAGCCTGAAAAATTCAAACAGGTTCATATTATGTAAAGTAATGTTACATTAAGCTTTATATTTCTTTTAAATATTTTCTGTTTTCACTTTTAAATGTCATATCATGAAACTGTAAAGAATGTGGATGATATTAGAGGTTCTGTGTAAAAGCCTGTAAATACATTTTTAGCCTAGAGATCATCTCTAAAGGAGCTGACCGATCTGTTTAAGCTCTTCCTTAAATTTTATTAAAATGGATTTTAAAAAATGTCAAAAAATTAAATCATCAAAATGTGTTTTCTTAAAACTAGAGACTTGATTCCTGATTCCCCCTGTTTCATATCCCACCATGTTAAATTAGGCTGTCAAAGACGGCCTTTGCTGTGTTGTAGCAAACCTGTTGTAATTTGTTGATGTGATTTCCTGATCATTTCTGAATCTTCTTTGCAGGAGGAGACTCCAACAAATCCAGCTGGTAAAAGGCCCAAATCGAATCCTCTTGAACTTAGAAGATCTCACTTTTATCAATCCCCAGCTTAGTAAAAAGGCAAGCACCATCCCTGTCACCCAGTCTTTGACATAAAATTGAACTCGGACTAATTAATCTATGATTTGTGTTTTCTACAGTGACACACTGAATGTTATGAATAAATGTGCAAAATGTCCATATTTGATTAAAAACAAAATCCTAGCAAATCTTCCAATCATTTTTCATGTCATGCAGAAAATCACTTTAGAGGACCTGAGTGAGTCCAAAAGTGCTCTGGAAGAGAAATCTGCAGACCGCTCGCATTCTGTGAATAGCATGCAGACGGCAACTCATGAAACTACCAATGTTGCTGTGTATGAGGTAGGTTACACCTCAGAAGTTATTGTACATGTTACTTCAAGCTGAACAACAATAGATAGATGGATAGATAGACAGATAGATAGATAGA